GTGTGTGTGTGTGTGTGTGTGTGTGTGTGTGTGTGTGTGTGTGTGTGAGTGATGTTTTTGCAAAAAACACTAAAATTAATACCAGTAGAAAAAAAATCAGTAAAAGAGTAAAAAAATATTTCAAAAGTGTATTTTTTCAAAAATGAAATTTTTGCTCTAATGTCATTGTTGTTCTGGAGGTGCGATTTGTAAAAAGATAAAACAGTAGAAAATAACTGAATGTGTGCTCACTCGTTCTCACAGAGGGCCAGTCAGATCTAGAAAAGTATTAAGTTTGCATGCAATATTCGTGTACTAGTTTTTAGTAGTAGTTTTGTCAAATTATCGTCTTTAATTAAAGAACTATTAGTGCCATTTTAGAATTTTCATAAATACTTTCTTATGCTCACAAACTTTTTAAAAAATCCTTGTGTCCTTGTATATTTTAATATCGGTAAGTATCAATAGGTACAACCACCTGCGTTGTGTTGGCATCTGACGTAAGAGTGCTCACGAAGCAAGCCTCGTGAGCTCGAACATTGTATTAGGTGAGCATTCGCTCTACTCACGGACGGATTGAGGTATAACTATATTAACCGACTTTGAAGAAACGGTTGAGGTTCTGATTTCTTCGCCTTTGTCTATCTATGTATGAAATTAAACTAAAACAGTACGCTGTTTTGGACAAATGTAGATATTGCGATCAAATCACACAGCTAAGGTTATACAATTTGTTAAATGATAATAAAATGAAATTAGACAAGATTTTGTGGCGATTGTTACACATTGGAAATTATACTGTTCTTTTCGGATCTAAAATTGCGCATATTTGTTTTTTCAAACAAGCCAAACGTGACGAAAATAATACATACATACCATTTTAGATCCGAAAAAATATATTAATTTCCAATGAAATCAACCAATCAATTACTTTTTTCGAGTCAAATATAGGACTTCTAACCGAATAATAACAAGGTTCAGTGATTAATTTAACAAGTTTTTTATAAAAATACTTTTTATTTAAATATTTTCGCATGTATTTTGTTTTTAATTATAATAAGTCGTACTTAAATTATTACACGTATAAAATAACTATTATATATAAGTACGAAGGTAATCTAATACTAGTAAACCGATATATTACGTCGAAGTTGCGAAGCCAAATTTCCTTAAAAGCTTTTCTGTATTTTTTAAAACTATTAGTCCCATTTTGAGGTTTGAAGGCTCTTTTGTTGGTCATCAACAAACACTAAGACACGTATTATATTTAATAATACGTATCCATACAATAGTTAACGAGTTCTTAGGTTTTCGCGATTGTTACACATAGGAAATGAAACTATTTTTCCGGATTTAAATCGCGTATATTTGTTTTTTTCAAACAAACCAACGTTTCGGGTCCTTTACAGGACCCATTGTCACGATTGACTGAGATGGTAGAGTCATCAACCAGTGATGTCTAATATTAATGCAAACAACCCTATTTTTTCACTATAGTTACAAAAGTTATTAATTAAATATCTTATTTTTAATTTTCCAAAGAAACATTTCAATTGAACGCTACATTACGTTTTACAAATTATTTTATTCTGTGAATGGAAAATATCGCAGACTGCAGACTTGTTTACTCGACGTTTCTGCAGTCTGCGAGCATATCATGTGTTAACCTACACATTCAATGAAGTTTAACAAACTTTGTGTGAAAAAACAAATATACGCGATTTAAATCCGGAAAAATAGTTTCATTTCCTACACACAATACTCGATGATATAGACTAAGCTTGTTGAGACTAAATTTATTTTTACATACACTTTGACAATTTGAAGATGGGTTAATTTTTTACTCCTTTAATTTCTGGTTATGTCTGTTTCATGTTATATTTTGTTTTTATTTTTAGTACCGTTACGGGAAAATGGAAAACATGGATAACTTAGACGACACGGAGAATCATGCGAAGGTTTCGGACTCCGCTTACTCTAACAGTTGCAGTAATAGTCAATCTCGCAGGAGGTAAATAATAAATTTACTGTTTGAAATGTTTGAAATGGTGATCAGATAAATACTATGATTATTTTCTAGTCACAGCTCGAAATCTACTCACTCCTGCAGTCAATCAAGTGGTAGTAGTGGATATGGAGGTCAACCGTCGACTTCCAGTTATAGGTATGTACATCTACATCACAACCCGTGCTAACACTTCTTTGAGAAAATCGTGGAAATAATAAGGCAAATAAAATGTTAGAAAAACAAGCTAAATTTTTTTGGAACTACCAGTAAAAACACTACAAGTCAGCCCCTTGAGAAAAGAAGTAAGAAGAAAGAAGTGAAGAAAAAGAAGTCGTTGCATATAAATTTTGAGGCTCCGACGTCGACAGAATGCAGGTCTCTGGTTGAAGAGCCGATTGCTGAGGCTGCAAACGAGGAAGTGTGCATTGGTGGGTAGCTTTCCTTTTGTTATTTTACTTCCAATGTACTGTGTGCTATCTATCGTCTATTGTTCCTCATGATTTGAGACCTGGCCTTATACTGTTTGTTCTTGTTAAAAATAAAAATACCGGGCGAATTTTTCCTGTCGCTCACTCCATGTCAAACCGTATGTATTTATTTCGGTAGAAAACTTAATTGCTGATTCCAATTTTTTTATTTTTCAAACGCGTCTACACAAGATTATTATTTATTATTTTAATCTTCCCTTCGCCTCGGACCTCTGTGGAGTACAGACGTGCTTTAAGTCGAAATCTGTAGCTATTGTTTCTGGAAAATATATTTAAATTTTTCACAAATAATTTTAGTGCATATATTCGGACTGCATAAACATTGATGTGCATTGGTAGCATTGGAATCTCCTCACACATACCCGTCTATATCGTACGTCACTAGTAAGATTTGTTGTGTACGTGTACTGCAGAAAGAAACAACATCAGACAACGCTACGGTGTGACATATTGGTAATTAAAGGACAAATATATTTCCGCCGGTCTCTCTAGTTTCGTAAAGTAGTCAAACAATAGGGAGGTCAAATTAAGCTGGCGACTACAAACGTCGTACTAAATCATCGATTATCGACCAGTGAAATGACCCCTTAACTCACGGGTACATTTTTTACTACAACGGATTTCTGGTATTACGTTCCGATTAACAACCGGCCCCGACAGTCAACATGCCGCTCCGTCGCTCCCCGGCCCCCGCTACGTCTACTAATGGTCACACGTGCCCAAATACTTCAGTTGCAATCGAATGACTCAGATACTCCTTCGGAGCGCAGTGGTGGCGGCTCCACCAATATTCGCCCCAAGCGCAGGCGCGAGCAAGATGATGATGTAAAAGACCTTAAATCCGAAATGAGAGGGTTGTTTACAAACTTAACTAACTCTTTTAAATTTTTATTGAATTGATATTCAATTATTTTTTGTGAAATTATTCCACTAGTTTGTTGTAATCATTAATACAAAGATCGAACACTCAGAATAAATCCCTTCGATCCGGTCGGATTCGAACCGACGTCTTCTTGCATACCGTGTCAGACGCTATACCAACTAAGCAACGGAACGAACCAACGGACCCAACGAATTTTTCTATGTGCTTGCGTCGTGTCTTTGTATTTGGTTTTTCAACGACTTTTTAGTTAACTAACTCTGTTGAACAACGTTTTAATGAGATAAAACAATAAAATAATGACTTTCAATTGAGTTTGCAGTTTATGTCTGAGAAATATGACGCCGTTCTCGAAAAGCTCCAAAACCTGGAGGAAGACAGAGTAAAGGAGAGAAGACATATTCAATTTTGGAAGATAAAATAGAAACTTTAGAGCGCAAAATTAAATCAACAGACATTGAAGTTCGTGATGATCCAAGGCTGAAGAATGATGATAAAAAACTGGAAACTAAATTAGAGATGTATGAATTAGTTAAAGCTATAGCCAAATCGGTGGATATAAACCTACAAGTCTCTGATGTTAATGATATCTACAGAATGAAGTCCAATAAAGAAGTGGTCAAGCCACTAATAGTTGAACTAAACAGCGTTATGATTAAGGATGACACGCTGAAAGGAGTTAAGAACTTCAACAAAAGGAAGATCAAAAGAAGAGAAATTTGTTCAATTTCTCACACTCAACACCTGAAAATTTCTGGACTGAGACCGGTATTTCTATCAGAAACCCTTACAATGAATACTCAAAAATTGTTTTTTATATCGCGCGAATTTGCTCGCGAAAATCAATATTCGTATTGCTGGACCTCCAGAGGGGTAATATACTTAACGCAAAACTGAGGGTCATCCGTTAATCCGCATCAACTCGGAAGCTGGAGATCAGCTCTTCGATTTGACCTTTTATTGCTTAATGCTGTTTTTCTCAATGGTACTAAATATATATAATGGACTTTATGCTATCTTGTTTAATAATTTGTCTGTACACACTAGTCTGTCATTTTAATAACGTAATTAACTTACGAACAACTTTATACACACATCTTAATCGCTCTCTCAAAAGAATACAATCATGATACTCAAGTTTTATACAGGTGATTTTTTAGTCATCGTCCAAATTTTTCCCAGCCGCTAGGTATCATTCAAAGACTCCATTTTCGAAAAAAAATTTATAGGTCTATTTTCAAAATGAAAATATTTATTCCGAAGTAATACTCGACAAAAATTGGTTACCAATTTACACTATTATTATTTACTACGACTATGCGTCTATGAATGAATGCCATACGCTAACCGCGCGGATTCTCCAATCATACGCCAATCAAAGCAAAATGCCGCCACCGCCGCCGCCCGCACCGAACGCTATTGGCGGCTGTCACTTCAGTCGTCACACGTCCGTGTAGCGCTTCGTACGTGTGTGCAACGCTATCTCGCTATTGAAAACGCATTCACGTGTCACTATGTATACAAACCGCGAGTACTTTGAAATGGTCAAGTGCTATTTTATAAGTGATGAAAGCCTAAACGGAACCCAGAGACTATACGAGTCAGAGAGCATTCCTCGCCTTCGCAATTATGGAATAGCAAGTCCTACAGTCCCCAACCGCCAAACGTTTCTGCATGTCATACAGAGGCTTTTAGACCATGGCCAGTTTACGATGCCTTCACACGCCCAAGGACGTGGTAGGCCGCGACTGTCCGTGGAAATCGAAGACGAAATCTTCGATTTTTTCGAGAGAGATCCAAGACGAAGTACACGTGATGCAGCTCGACGGTTCAACGTTAGCCAATACGTTATAAGTTAGAATTGAAACTAAAAATTGTAAGTGCATTTGCACAAGTGAAAAGTGACACTACAGTGCTGAACAAAATACAAGACAATATTCAAAAACGTGCAAGAATCTGCTTGGAGAGGAATGGTTTACATTTTGAGCAATTATTAAAATACTGTTAAAGTTGTTACGCTAAGGTAATTTTTATTTGATTTTAATTAAATGTACATAAGTTGATTCAAATTTTTTAAATACTCCTTATTGCAAAAGGCATGGCCTGCTTTTATTTTTATACTTCTGTGTACGATACGAGTGTGGACTACATTTGTCGTAAATCGATGTTTTGTTTAAATTTATTGATATTATTATAAAATGTTTCTAGTTCACTAATAAAAAATACCACGTGCGTAGATAACGAAAGGGCGATGGGAAGATTCTTTTTTTATTACTTGCTAAATACTAATTCGTTACAATTCATCGTAGGAAGCGAACCTTTAATTTGTTTGTCTCACAAACAAAAGTAAAGATTATTTTCTTTTGTTCTCTACACAGGGTAAAATTTTTAGTCATTTTGAAATTCAATAAGTAAAAACTTCGATGGCTTTCGGTAACACAACGCTTTAAATGCGTAGAAGTTAAGTTCGGGAAACGAACTTTCCTAATTAGGTGTGTTTATCAGGTGCATTATTTTTATCATTATTTTGTAATAATATCATTAAATTTTGTCAAACCTCTAAAACAATTTACTTATAAATAACTTCCGCTCTCGTTTTCGTGCGTTAATGTAACAAAATCTTGACTTGAATTCGAATTAATTGTCTACATTCTAAAATAACATCACAAAAGCCTTTTGTAACTTGACGGTCATAAGCCCGTGAAAGTATGAAGGGAAAATTTGCAACTTATGTATTTTATCAACGACGCGGGGGGTGGCCTAGCGCGCATATCGAGGAGGCTGTCCACACGCGCGCAATTTTTTAAAACAATTTTGCGATGGCATATCTTAATTTTAGTATTGATTTACACTAAAAGGAAAATTTGCGCATGTTATATTTTCACTAAAGATCATAATATGAAAGTATGGACGATGACTAAAAATTCATTCTGTATATCATAATACACAACTTATTACAACAAATCCACACTACTACTGCCATAAAACATATCTAAAATGTATCATATTACTTTAAATGCTGTAACAAAGTTTGCCAACTCAGTTGAAATTTCGTTTCAAGTTCAGATCCGCTATACCTGCTGTAAAAATATAATGACCAACTGTATCTATCCCAATAGAATTTGATAATTTTCATCGCAAAAATTCTAGTTTTATAGATGAATTGTTAGTGTCGAACTCTTACTCTTGTGAACCTGAATAATGTATAAGTCTAATACCTGTTTACGGAAACTGCCTTAAAATATTTATTCAAAATATACGTAGCGTTTCAGCTAATATGTCTGGACTTGTTGTGCTATTATCTAGAATTAAACTGATACAGGACGTTATAATTCTGACTGAGTGTTGCCTCTCTTGTAACCCTCGTATTCCATCAATAGTTGGGTATGATAATTATGCCTCAAGCACAACCATGAATCAAAATGACGGAATAGTAGTGTATGTTAGGAATGATATCAATGATGTTATAGTAACTCAACTTGCAGTAATGACCTGCAGTAATGGACGCGAATTGTATAATAATAAGGATTGGTAGTGATACAGGCATCCGTGCTGTTTATAGAACTCCCTCAATCAGGGACATTACTAATTTCCTGAATTCTGTTGATCTCATTCTAAGAAATAACTCTTCCCTTCGAAATGTAATAGTCGTCGGAGACAACAATATAGATATAGCAGAGGATAATATCAATAACAACGCAACGGTTTACTTGAATCTCATGGCCTGTCATGGTCTTTTACCAGCCCACACTCTACCGACCCATGGCAAAACTTCGCTTGATCATATTATTCTTAAGACTTTGGACTTAGACAATCATTTTCAAACTTTTAACTATTCTTATATCTACAAATGCCCAGGTGTAAATGCTGCTTTTGATTATTTCTCGAATTTATTAACGAGAGCTATCCAAATGTGTTTTATTACATATGTCATACTATGCCGCCTGAGAATTATCAAACCTTGCATAACCCCAGGAGTCCTAAGGTACATGAGGAGTAGGGATCGGATGTAAAGAAAAGTAAAAGCCTCCCCTAAAAACGAAATACTCAGTATTACATT